AAAAAAAAAAAAAGAAGAGACTATGCCAAATTCTTTAACAAAAATTCTGGAACTGATATGTCCAAATATGTATTGTACCTTGCAAGAGACTCAATTGGAAAAGTAATACCCTTATTTAAATGAGGCCATTATTATTCAGAGAATTTCTTCATTAGAAAGGCTATTGGAAGCTTCAGAAAGTATCTCAAACAGCCTAAAAAATGACGAGTCTTTGTCCTGTCAGGTGAATCTGATTTTGGAAGCAGCCATTTGGAGCTATGTTCAGTAAATAATATACCTATTCAAATTTGGTGACAAAAAGTTTTAGTTAAAAATAAGATGATAAAAGAAACTACGGCAAATTTTCATGATCTTGGGTTTGGCAGTGGTTTCTTAATATAGCACCAAAAGTATAGGTAACATAAGAAGAAATAAATTGGTCTTCATTAAAATTAAAAACTTTGTTCATCAACGATAACTATCAACAGAGTGAAAAGACAACCTACAATTTGGGAGAAAATATTTGCAAATCATATACCCGATATATATGCAGAATATCCAGAACATATAAAGAACTATAACTCCACAATGAAAATTTAAACAATCTAATGCCAAAATAGGGAAAGGACTTGACTAGACATTTCTTCAAAGAAGATATACAAATGGCCAACAAGCACATGAAAAGATACTCTGCATCATTAGTCATTAGTGGAATGAAAATCAAAACCACAATGAGATAACAATTCACACTTACTGGGATGGCTGTAATTTTTTTAATTAAAATAATAATTATAGAAGAAGATTTGGGGAAATTAGAGCCTTCATACATTGCCAACAGGCACGTAAAGTGGTTCAACCACTGAGGAAAACAGTTTGGTGGTTCTTTAAAAGTTAAACAGAGAATTAACCACGAGCCTGCAATTCCACTCCTAGGTATATGCCCAAAAGAACTGCATTCAGGGACACAAACAAGTACTTGTATATAAGTGTTCACAACAGCACTCTTCACAATAGCCAAAAAGTAGAAACAACCCAAGTGTCCATCAATGGATAGATGGATAAACAAACTGTGGTACATCCATATAATGGAATACTGTTCATTCATAAAAAGGAATGAAATACTGATAAATATACAATGTGGATGAACTTGAAAACATGAAAAACATATGGTACCTGAAAAAGCCAGACACAAAAGGGCATACTGTATGATTCCACTTACATGACATACCTTAAAAAGGCAAATGCATAGACAGAGAGTAGATTAGAGGTTACCTGGGGAGGGTTATAGGGAATTTAGTGGGTGCAGAGTTTCTGTTCAGAGCAATGAAAGAATTTTGGAAATAGTGGTGCTGATTGCACAACATTATTAATGCCCCTGATACGTACACTTTAATAGGGTTAAAATTTTATGATTGATATATATATATATATATGATATATATATGACATTTCTTGTTAGGCATTACATGTAAAATATATAGAACATTGTATTATTAGTCATTAATATAAAACTAAGCAGATTTTAGTTATAACTGACCACAACTTTAAAAGCATTCAAAATTTACAGCAGTTAACATTGTATTTTAAGGAGTCTAGCAGTTCTTCCTTTATTTTTCTTGACAAATGCCCTGTGGAAATAATGAAATGCAAACAGACTTTATATCAAATTAAACTCTCAATAATGCATATTAATACCTTAAAAGAAAAAACAAGATGGTTAGAAAGTGGTGAGAGCTTTTTCCTGTGCTTCCTCCTGAAAGTAAAGCCCTTGATGTGTGGGACAGGAAGTCGAAAGGGAAACCGGGTAGATTCTGCTGTTCGGGAGAATGTGTCATTTGTAGATAACTGAATTGTGGTCAAATTGCATAGTTCACATCCCGTGCAAAGAAATGTCGGATCGTTTATGTTTAGTCAACTAATGTTGATATTAACACCTAGAATATGGTGAAATCTTTCTAAATAGGGCAGGGAACCCATTTTTCCCTTCTATTCTTTGCGCGCTCAGTTTGTTCTCAAGGAGCTGCCAGTCTTAGGCTCGTCATGCACGGCTTCGTCCTTCCTCCTTTTGAGCGAAAGCATTAGAGATGACTATTCACGTGCAACCCTGGTTCTTTTCCAGAGCATAGGAAACTTGGAAATATGACTGTGACCGTGAAGAAGACTGTCCCCTCCCCCGAGGCCGTGCAGATTCTCTACCAGCGAATGAGATACGAGTATGAGTTCTACCACTACGTCAAAGAGCAGTTCCACCTGCTGAAGCGCAAGTTTGGACTGAAGTCCCACGTCAGCAGGCCCCCTCTGAGGCCCCAGTTCTTTATCCCAACTCCCCTGGAAACCGAGGAGCCGATCGATGACGAGGAGCAAGATGACGAGAAGTGGCTAGAAGATATTTATAAGAGGTGATGCCACACTGTGTTGCCTCCACCAGCTGTATCTCCCTTTTCCAGAAAGTTCTTTTGTGGGGGGGAGGAAAAGTCCTTAAGGGACTAAATTAACGCTCAGCTGCATTAAAAAGAACAAAACATGCCCACATGTTGGGGTCACGGGGAGATGTCCGGTTTTGCGGGTCTCACTTGTCTGACTGCATTGTGTCTTCCTGGCTCCTTGGGTCCTGTCCCAGGTACATTACATGGCTCCATCACAGGGCATCCCATCATAACATAGCTTTTCCCTCTAGCATTTTGAGAGGAGGGGGAGAAATAGAGCCCACAGCCCAGGAACTTATCATTCGTAAAATGACTTGTAAAAATATTACCTCAGTGGTAGGACACATCCAGACTTAACTCTTTCGGTAGAAAGACAAAACCACTTCAGAGACCAGGGAATCCACTCTAGAAGGATCTAAGAGGAGAAGCTAAGACTGATAAGCACCTCAAAAGGGAGGACGCCCCTGGATGAGTGGTTTCCGCCCCCGTGGGTAGAATTCTGCCTCTGGTCCATCTCAGGGGACACTTTCACCAAGAGCAGCGTAGTTATCTCTGAAAGAAGTCAGTTGGTGCCACACCCCCAGCCCTTCCACAGCCTTGGTACCTTTCAAGGTCAAAGGCCATGGCAAGCTCCATTGAGACAGTCCCTTTCCAAGCACCATTCTGACAGATATCAAAGCAGCGTAGCAGGGAAAAGAATTTGTTTGCTGTGTAAGGAAGACTGTAGGCGAGACAGAGCAACTCTGGAGGTCACGTGACATCAGGAAACTGGTATGGTTGTGTTCTTTGCACCCAGTATGAAACATCTCTCTCCCCAGCATTGCTTTCACTGGAAACCCAGGAACCAGTTTAGCTCTGGCATTTGGCGGCTGTGGGCAGAAGTTCTAAGCCTGACCACAGACGATGCATAATCTACCAGGCACATCCCTGGCCCAGTTGGGTCCACAGTCACTGGCGTCTTTCACCTTTGGTCCCTTGGGAGGTACCTGGTTTTAGTAAAAAAAAAAAAAAAAGGGGGGACGTCCTGAGTTCTGCTCAGGCAGCTGTGAAACCACAGTCCCATTTCTTAGGGAAGCAGGTCTCTCGTGAGAACCTTATTAAGACATTAAGAAGAGAAGAAGCAAGAGCTTCTGGTAAGAGTCTGCCTGGCCAGCTCTCTGAATAGGTGTCTCCCCACAGAGTGGTCTGCATAGCTGTTGGGCAGTTCCATTGCTCCAAATATCTCTTCTCCCCATTTCTCTCCCGTCATCTGCCACCTATTCATGATCCCGTGGGTCTTCGGCTTCTGAACTGTTTTCATTGTTAACTGCTCCCTCCTCCCCAGCCCTGAATATACATATATCCCTGGGTGGATAACATACAGCCAACCGAGAAGCAAGGGTGCAGGTGGTGATGGTAGGCAGGATACTTGCATCAGATTTTGTCTCCTTCATGGTTTTTCCCCTAGAGCCAGCCCTTTCAGAGCACTAGCAAAGTGTGAGTTGGGAACACTTAATAGTAAATAAGACTGACTTTACACAAGCTACACATTTTCTACTTTTCAGAAACCAACAAGTCTCTCTAGAGTTTTTTCTTCGTTCACTAAAATTGGATGGTAGCCAAGATATAAAGCAAGTCCTTTGGAACCTGTCGAGTGAGCACTAAAGCTACTTTATCATGAGATGTACTGAGAAGGCTCCGCCCCACAGGAGTCCAGCGAAGGCTGGGACCACAGAGGCACAAAATCCAGCATTTGGCCACTGGTGGGCCTCCTTTCTGCCTCAGAGAACTGGGGCAGAGATGTGCTTAAGAAAAATTTTCTTAGAAGAGGAAATATCCTTTGTCCTGTTGAGAGAGGCCAGGGCCCTACCATTAGGCCTACCTTAAAAAGCAGCACAGAGAACCGCTGTCCTATTGAAAACAAAAAACAAGAACGACAGCCTGGTACACGGTGAGTCATTTCTCTGAAACTGCATATAAAGAATGATAATTAGTTCACACACTGTGCAAGCTCACTCTCTGAAAATAAAATCGAATTGGCTTCGTGGTCTCTCTTTGTCAGAACATCAGGACCACTGGTCATGTTAGCAATGCATCATCCTCCGAGTTCACACGAGCACTGGGTGTCCAAAGGCATTTATTGTCAGCCGTGATCCTGACAACATCCCAGCAAAAGATGCTGACGGACTCACTTGCAGGGCCTTACTGTTACTCCGTCCCAACAAATAGCCTCTACGTCCTGAAAGTCAAGGCACTTCATCAGTTTATTGGCACACATAACAACATTTCTTTGGCCCTGAGCCCAACGCAGTTTGTACTTCATGAAATATATTGTACATTTTACATAGTTTAATTTAAAAAATACATTTTAAGCTGGTTGATCTTTGACTGCCTTATTTATTATAACCTTTCAGCACATTCCAAGGTTTTAGTTACTCAGGAAGGAGTTAATTAAAATGATTTTTATTTTGGTCTGATGGATGTTTTTTAAAAGGAAAATTATTATTATGAACCTTCAGCCTACTTTCCTTGAGTGCCGTAAAAGTGCTTGTAAATCTTTTTTTTTTTAAGAAGAAGAAAGAAAAAAAAATGGTGTTTGACATGGATGGAAATTCAAAAATATATATGGAACTGAAACATTAGCTTAGCTAAAATAAAAGCAATCCGTGTTTGAGATGAAGTGTTCCTTAACTTATTCATTATCCATATAAATAAATGAGTATAAATAAGTTGAAATTTTTTTTTTCCATTCTGTTGATAGCTGAAAATAAAAGTGCCTGCCGTTCTTCACAGCGCCCTCGGCCTTCTTAATTGGCCAACCTTTTTCCATCAAGACGTGCCTTTTTTAGAAAGATGTATTTTTTTTTTAAGTCCATAAACTCTATTCTTATGATTGGATGACATCAAAAAGCTGGCTGAAGAAATGAACTAGAACTAGGCCTTCATTCATCTGGTTGTGTGTATACAAGCCCGAGCAGCTGACTTTACCCCGACGTGTCCTGGTTGGTTTGGTGTCGGGGTGGTTCAGCAGAACCCTCAAGCCCCTGATTGCTGGTGTCTCAGCTGCACATTGCTCTAACACAGGCAAGGAAGGATATGCCACACCACGCCTCTTAGCATGTATTCTGATCTCTTTCTCTGACAGGTAGAGCCCCAAAAGCTGGGTGATTCTCACCTCCCAAGCGAGCAGTTTTGATCCAGAAACACTCTTCTTATGAAATCTCACAGCTGCATCAAAAGGGGCTTGCGGGGACACCTGGGTGGCTCAGTCGGTTAAGCATCTGCCTTTGGTTTAGGTCATGATCCCAGGGTCCTGGGATTGAGTCCCGCATTGGGCTCCCTGCTCAGCCAGGAGTCTGCTTTTTCCTCTCCCTCTGCTCCTGCTCATGTTCTCTCTCCCTCTCAAATAAATAAAATGTTAAAAGGGGGGGGGACTTGCAAGAGAGTCAGGGAGTCCCCAAGCTTTCTAGCTATCAGACACCACGTGCCAACTACATGTGGCTATTTTGTAAAAGGAAAGAATCAGGATCTTGGTACTAGACAAAAGAAAAACCTATTTTGGTAATAATATGCTTTAAGTAAGAGTCTGAGTCTTAAACAACAAGTGACAAGTGGTTACATTTATCATTTAATTTGTTCTGTAACTTGGTCACATGATGTCTGACTCTGAGTGATCTTTAAAGACAAAAGTACTGAACAAAACCTGGACCATACCCCCTCTGGACTTGCTTTGTTTGGTCTGAGGTTCTTCATAAATGTGCTGTTACCTGCAAGTTCATCCAGTGAACTATTTGGCTTTAAATGAAGGTTGTGGATAACGGTAGGATTTCTCAGAAGGCAGAGTGATGATCCATAAGCATTCAGGACAATTGTTCTGTGGGTCAAAATTATGAAATTCTCTTTTAGTAAATGTAAAGAGGATTTATTTTACTAAAATAACTTGCTTCACATCTGGTGATGAGGAGAATAATTTTTTTTTTAAGTATGTTGAATATCCTACAAAGGAAAAGCCTGTTTTAGGCTAAAACCAATATTAAGAGTCTGTTAAGAAAAACACCTAGAACTTCTTTCACAGCTCAGAAAATTCATCTTGGCGGAGCTCAGTGTGTTAGGGCCATAGACTGGCTTAAACAACAGAAATTTATTTTCTCACACTTCTGGAGGCTAGAAGTTTGAGATCAAAATGTTGGTTTCTCCCGAGGCCTCTCTTTTTGGCTTGTACCTGGGCATCTTCTCTCTCTGTCTTCACATGGTCTCACCTGTGTGCCCCCTTGTGTCTGGGCCCAAATTCTTTTAATAAGGACACCATTCATCTTGGATTAGCGCCCACCCCAATTCCTTCATTTTAACTTGAAATTAGCCCTATAGAGACCCTATCTCCAAATACAGTCACATTCTGAGGTGCTGGGTGTTAGGACATCAACATATGAGTTTTGTGGGGACACAGTTCCTCTCAGAACACCCAGATTTTAGCAGAGAAGTTAGAGCAGAGGAACTAATCTCTGACTAGGAGAGAAGCGAGCCTCAAATCACAGACCCCTCCGACGGCAGTGCGGCTCAGCGGTCATCTGGCCCTTGTCCTTATTTTATACGTAAGGAATTGAAGGTCCAGACAAATACAAGATGCAAATACATCACATGTTAACTTTTTCCATTGAGGGTTTGATTAACTTTCGAATATCAAACAAATCAAAACTTTAAAATGATGATCTAGCCAAAGTCCCTCTACTGACCTAAATCCGGGATGGAAAGGATAAGCCACATCCAGTACCCCCTGCCTCATGGACGCCGCACCCCCCCCCATGTGGCTCTCCTGGGAGTGGGGCCTGTGGAACCCCCTTCCACAGAGGGAGACCCTAATCACTTAAGGCCTCAGAGACAGATGTCGAAATCAACCTGTTTCATTTTAGATGTTCCTCTCTCCTCAAAGAATTTGGGCTACATGTTGCCCCTCTCAGATTATAGAGTTTTCTTTCTCTGAAAAAGCAAAATGAAGATTCACGTTCTACTTCTTGTAAGGAGTTTCAGAAGGACCTCAAAAAATAAAGTCAAATGCAGCTCATAAAACTCGTGGCAGGCGAGTGTAGACTTGCCCCTGGAAACCCGGAGCGAGAGAGTACCCAGGCCCCGAGCCCTCCCCGGCCTCTCCCCTCGCCCACCAACTGCTTCCCGCACTCGAGAATTCCTTTCTGCGTAGGCCAGGCTTGGCTCGCAGCTCCCAGGCCTGCAGATTCCCAAGGAACACCCGGGCCCACGGGTGTTCATGGGTCACAGAATTGTGAACTGACCCCTTGTGCCCTTTGGCTTTCAACTTGTCAACATGGGGATTCCCTTAGGAAGAGAAAAAAAGAAAAGGAAGGGAAGAAAAATCACCGTGCAAAGGAAAAATGTGAGCTAAGTTTTTCCTTTGGAATCTTGGCGTGTGCGTTTAGCTATCTTCAATCTGGCTTTCGCCAGACACTGTATGCTTCGAGCAGGCATGGAGCAATCTGCCTTATGCTGTGCTGCCAGAACATTCAGACTTGACCTGTAACATGCCTCCTACTCCAGTCCTGAGCAGAGACAGCCGTCAGGTCGGCCGCGCCAGACGCAGCATGCTGGCTGCGTGGGGCAGCTAGAGAAGCCTCTAGAACCAGGAAGCAGAGCTGCTGGCTGACAAGGGCAGACGCTGCACACCAGTGAAGTCCCAAAGTTCACCTCCCAGCTGCTCTATTTCACTGGGCGCTGGAGTAATAAGTCACTTGACCTCTCCCTGCCTGAAGTCAGCCCAGCTGGAAAATAGGAGGTCCATTGAAAACCAAGAGTTGCTTCTGGAATGAACTTTGTCCCCCCACCCCACCCTCCACCACCATATGCTAAGAGACTGAGAGCCACAAGCCTTTAGGGGCTGATGAATGTTCGTTTTCTCCACAAAGTGCTCTGTCCCCAGCAAGAGAGCCTATAGTACACATAATTCTAGGTCCATCCATGCCCCCAATCCCTCACGCCTGCACGTGGTTCCACCTGACCTATCACTGAGTCCATGGAAAGCAGCCTTTGGGAGATGCGAAAGGAACCAGTATGAGTAGGCACATTCTAGTGGACACGGGTCAGTATTCTTAATCTGTGCCATTATTCAAGGCAAACCACTTTATGGATTTCCAGTTTTCTCTAACATTCTCTTTGGGAGGAGGTTGTGTGTTACAGGAATCCTCCCTAACTCACAGCTTCTAAATACAGGCATCTTCTAACTTCTTTAAAGTACCCTGCATATCTGTGATCCTGTCCATGATAAAGAGCCTAAAACATCCATGTCAATTAGTACAGGGTACGCACAAGAAAAGTTTTCGTAAAGGTTGGAAACCCAGTAGGATGGGGTACTGTACTTTTTGGCATTTTATTCTCAACATGGCATCACTACTCTGACATTTTGGGAGAAGTGTGGCAATGATTTCGTGGGCTGGTGATGTATGCAGCGTGGTCGAGCCTTCTGACTCCATTACGGGACTGCCATTAGAGGACTCTAAATCTTTTGTGTTACTAATTTTTTACTGATCACAAACTTCTTTACAGCCACCCTATTTGCTGCTTATATCGAATTTACCATCTCCTTTCCTCCTCTGGCATACTTTCCTATTTGCTCTCCATCTTTGATTGAAAGTTAATGAAATTCTAATCCAGTGCATATTCCCAAAAGATAATTCATGAACCAGGTGTGTGAGATAGGCATGAAAAAAAGTCCTTGCGCTAAACAAGTTGGAAAATGCTTTAGCTCAAAATGTCACACAGTACAGTGGTATTTTAAGAGCACACTAAGGGTCTGGAAGAATACTGCAGTTTTTAAAAGTCAGCTTATCTTGGGGCACCTGGGTGGCACAGTCGGTTAAGCATCTGACTCTTGGTTTCGGCTCAGGTGGTGATCTCGTGGTCGTGAGACTGAGCTCCGTGCCGGGCTCCACGCTCAGCACAGAGTCTGCTTGGGATTCTCTCTCTCCCTCTCCCCTCCCACTCGTGCTCTCTCTCTCTCTGTTTCTCTGAAATAAAGAAATAAATATTTTTTTAAAAAGTCAGTTTATCTTTGTCGAACCCCACATTTCTCAAAACTATTTGTCATGAAACCTTTATGAAGTTAGACCTATTAATAGTTGTGGAACTAGTGTTCTGGAGATTACACTTTGAGAAACATTGCTTTAATGTGTCATTTTCCCCCCATTGGAAGAGTTGCTTTCCTTCTGCTATGGTTCGATGTTTGGTCTTCCAAGTGGCTCATGTATCCTGCTTGAGGAAAATGTATTTGCAGATAATTAACATTTTGATAGATAGAAGGTGGGGGCAAATAACATTTTTAGTAAAATAATGAACAAGGAATCATCTTTCAGTTTTGCTCATGCTCCTTAATTACATCCCCCTACTTCACGAGAAAGTGGAAACTCTTTTTAAGGTGATTTTTAAATAGTCTTTAATATTATTTGGATGCCTCGAATCAATTCACGACTTCCATGAGGACTGGTGCTCAAATCGGATTGGATAAAGAACATCCGCCGCATTTCGTCTGTGCTTGGTTCTGCAGTGGGGAGCAAAATGGAGCTCTCCCGTTGTTCGGGTGAGGTTGGCAGCTGGAGATAAAAATGCTCAACTCTTGAGCTTGAACTCAGCCTTTGCACACTGGGGTATCTGTGTTGTTCAGCACACTAGGGGGAGCCGGAGCCATAACATTTTACTCAGGAAATCCAAGGTCTTTCCAAACCTC